CGATCACGCAGCAGTTTCAGACAGCAGCTCCTCATCAGCGCCCACACAATCCCATTTGGGTTTGCGCAAAGGTCTTTGTGTGGTTCCTGGCGCGTTTATTTAATCCTATAGAGCGGTTGCTGGCTTCGTTGTCAGGATCTGAACACTGAGGTGCAGCTGCTGAGGATTTCACAGCGCAATTTTTGCGAAGACATCGCTTTCTTTTCTGAAGGGAGTGAAGGTTAAAAACTACACTATATCTTGTAAAACGGTTACGAGAGCAGCTTTGCCTGGTAGGGGCAACAAGTGGTTCTCAGCGAAGCCCGAACAGGGCAACTTGTAAAGACCTGCAGATTCTTGTAACCAGAGTGGCTCACTCGTAGCTTTTCACAGCTTCACAATAGTTCACAGGTCTCACCAAAATGAGACATGTTTAGTGATACGAACCAGCAATAGGACCCAGCGGAAGTGCAAAACATGCCGTCAAACCAGAAGCGCCCATGAATGCAGTTTTTGCCGTAGTCCTGCAGCGAAAGAAGCAAGCAGAGTTAATAAGGAACAATGGCTGTCAAAGCACGAACATGGGCGCTGTTCGGCTCAGGGGTGGTCCTTTCGCACTTCGGCTTATTTCTGTTCTAGCTGCTAGTACCTGTTACCCGATCTGGACTTCCGCGAAACTGCAAAATCGTACAAGTGACCCTCTTTGGTTGCAAAAACTTGCAGGTCATCACAAGATTTGCTGAGCACCACTTGGTGCCTCCTCTGAGCCAAACTGCATCCTCAAATGTTTATATGGTGAACGTGGAAACGACTTTTCCAACGGGGACTGGGACAGCGAGGGTGAGCCAATGTTAGAAAATGGGAGTGTGCGTGGTCAGAGTGGTTATTAAATAGTACTTAGGGAAGAGGGTGCAGACTGAAGCGGAAAACTGACTGGACCGAGTTGAAGCGTCCATAGATCTTCGAGAAGGTCTCTGTGTCCCGGACCGTTCTTAGCCACATATTGAGAGGGGATCTATCACTATTTTTGTTTTTTATAAGGCCAGCTGACTCTCCCATAATCCCATGATTGAAAATCTCGGCCAAAACTTGTACCGTTCATTAACGACTCCAGTTGTCACATCAATCGTCGCCGCGTCAAGTGAAGAACACCAATTAATCGCATTCGACCTCAACCTTGATAACGGTCATCAGAAAGCATGCGATTCATAGCTATAGTTAGAAGTAAGGGATAAGTTTTCAATGGGAGGAGTTGGAATCTATGAAGCATAAAGTTTTCGCCTGTTGATCAGTCCCTTTTTGGGAATGCGGCACGCATTCTGCTTCTCCATATTTGGAATCGCAGTAGCCTATCGAATAAGGGCCTGTGTAATGACTTGGGAGGCCAGCCGATGTACACGTCAGTGTTCCTATCCTCCCAGACAAATCTGCTACCAATTTACCGTGCCCGGAGGGGAGGACGATTGCTTGGTGAGGGCGAGAGTTGATCCGGGATTTGATCCTTGGACCGTGCTCGCGGTAAGCTTGTACGTGCCACTACACCACCACCGTCTCATAATTAAACATCGCGATGCTAAATATTTCCTGTGAACTTACTAAGAAACGAAACCGACCTGCCGCAAAAGTCAGAGTTTGAGCCTAAATTTTTCATGAGCATTGAAAATCCTGCTGAGCCATTTAGAGATCTCTTCAGGAAGATATGGGGTCTACAACCGGACAATTGTACTGATAGCCGAGGACTCTGAAAGAATGGAAAGATACAATACTGACCAGTCGCTATATGGGACGCGCCGTTCAGCTAATTCCATTCAAACGATTTGTGGGAGCCAGTTACAGATCATTTTTATCATCCTAAGCAGACTAATTCTGTGGCCACTACAGGAGTCATGGAAGCATGGTACAGCATCGTTAAGAGAATCAAATCCGGGGGGAGGCGGACTCGTATTTGGTAGTTCCTGGTCACTGGAGAGATTATCTTGAGTCGTGAAGAGAACTTTCCTCAGTTATGATTTTTTTCTGTGCAAGCTATACCACCATTCTATCTCCTCTCCCCCCCCCACCCAATAGTGTTATTGGTAGAAAACGATGGTAAGGTGGTAGGCAGGAAGGGCCGATCGGAAGAAGAGGTGATAAATGGTCGCAATGACACCTTCATTTCACCCACGTCAATACTGTAGCCTGGATGGAAAGCGTGGTTGGGGGTGGCAGAGCAGTGCTTTGAGCTCTGCTGCTGGAGCGTCGTAAATGGAGCCACTTGCCTGTCCCTGTCATCCTAACTCGCTAAGCATCTTATAGTTAGGGAGGAGATCACTGTTCCTGACGTTCCACTATCCCATTTTGGCCCAATAATAATCCAGGTTTTTTATTAATTACTTTGCTATCTATGAGGCTATTTGTGGCTCACTTTCTAAATACAGTTACCGTATACCCACAGTAATAAATCAAGCCAATTAAGCGTGGCACCATAAAATTACCTCATCGGCACAGCAAAGGTGACCCAGTTCTGACGACTAGCAGACAACTGTCAGTACCCAATGAGCGATTATGTTTGTTGTTACGATTGCTGAACTCTGTCTTGTCTGCGCCAGTGATGGATAACTGGTACAAAACACGTCCGCGATGAGAGATGAGCTTCCAATGGAAAGCTTTTGAGGTTGTGTACCATGTAGGCGACAACGACCAGTCTAATTTGTTTACTTGTAGGAGATCAGGAAGCTCAACCATTCGTACGTTTTCGTGGGGGCATTTTGTCGGCTCCCATCAATCACTGCCATTGCCCGCTGTGGAGACCTGTAAACTCATGTAGAGCAATAACCCCAGTTTCGTATACACTTGACAAGCGTCTCACTGAGGTGTTTAGGAGTTTGTTCAAGTGCAACTCACAGGACTGCTCCCTCCAAGCTTTATTGTGTCTATTATTTGTTCACGTGGGGAGGTATATGTTGCACATATGGGGATCGATTTACATGTACATGTATATTGTGCCTTCCTCCCCCCCCCCCCCGAGCAGCGCCCAGCGCCTTGGCTGTATGGTCCCACAAGCTCCCTATTCGGACAACCTTTCTTAGACTTACCAACAAATTCTGCTACTTTACGAAGTCTCATAGGACTGCGGGTCACAGCTTGAAGAGCTCTTCTATCTGAACCAGTCACGGGGACCCTGACCTAGTTTTGGAATATTAAATCCCACTAATTAGAACGTTTGTTGTTGGTCCGTAGCGGCATTGCTTCCCCTCAACGTCTCTCATATGAAGAGCTAACGCTTCTACTCCGTCAGGTTTATCAGGGTTAATCCTGCCGCAATTAAGGCTAATCACCGCTCACCTTCGTTGGTGCGACCAAATAGGCGATGGAAGCGAACGCTGCGTCATGAAAGAACCCTTTCGAAGGAGGGTAAATGGGTACCTGAAAGTTCTGTCGTGCTCGCGCCTCTTGCTCGTGGTGCACAACACGGTTTTTAAATCCACATCAGACGATCTTAATTAGGTGCAATGGGGGGTCGGGTTTATACCGATGTTTCCACATCACATACAAGCGCTGGGATCATGACTGACAGAAGCAGAAGTCTGGACTGATCTTTTGTAAGGGTTCTTGGAACATTTACCCACTCGGATCTAGGATCTAGTCCGACTTACGAATGCTGTTGGTTGACTTTACTGGCGACGAAATTTTCTGGATATTGCATCACGGAGCTGCATGTGTTGGTATGGGGAGCGAGTGGTACCCAGCGAAGCTGGTGAACGCCACTTTGTGAAGACCTGTAAATTCCTGCGACTAAAGCTGCTCATGTGTGACATTTCACAATTTCCTACCAGAAAGCCAAAGTGCAAAATGTCCCCTCTCCACTCCTTTAAACCTAACAGCACCCTTTTCTTAGTTCGCTTCTCTGTCTGTATAAAGCGTTCTTTGCTTGGAACGCCACTATATTTTACCTTTTCCGCTCAGACGATTTGTGTAACCTGCCGATGCGAACATCAGAAACTATATGTAAAGCGGGATGCTAAAGAACTGATTTATTGCTACCATAAGAGTGAAGCCGTCCATCGGTCACGATGGTAACCAAAATGCATTTCTCTTCTACGGCTTCTCCTTGTGATCGCTCCAAATCAGTCTTGACACTTGCTAATTAAGCAATCCAGACTAGGAACAAGTGGATGTGCCACTAAGCAGGCACGGCCCTGGAACAATTCAGCCCAGCTTCTCGCTTGCCCAGATTTCCCTGTTACTGCCCCTGTTAGGGTAGGAAAAGGTGCAGTGGCATTGCTCATCGTCAGGGCACTTCCTTTCGCTGAAAACCATACCAGCCTGAATTTTCTTCCTTGATTAGAACCCCCTTGGCCATGTACCCACCATCTCCCTGAATATTTCCGACCCCCTCCCCCATGCTATCCTATGTCTTTACAGAAATTTTCAGTTTGTCTCTGTTTACGGCCGAGCGGGGGTGGGGGAGGGGAGAGGGATGGGTTACTACCATAAAACCACTTACTACAACTCTGCCGCAGCGCCACAGGGGGAAGAGAAGGAAGGTGAAGCAGGTAATATCAAGTATCAAAAAAGTATGTCGGGCCAAATTCGACCCCTGTACGGCTCGCTTTGCTCACCATCTGTTCTTCTGGACAAATATCTTCGATCCATTCAATCTATCAGTACATTCCTCGAAGGGTCTGTAGATTGGCACCAACTCGTTTGGGAGGATAAAACCCTTACTTATTCATCGGCCGCCTTTCGCAACTCTCAGCATAGGTCAATTATAGCTCTGAAAGGACCACTGCTGTTCTGAATGAATGAGGCGGAATTCAGGAAAAATTTGATCCACCTCGAAAGTTTGATTCTTGACATACCCGGACCAAGCGCTCTTACAAAAGCTAGCTGATTCCATCTATAAAAAATCCAACATAGAGCAATGCTTTCAGAGAGAAGATGCCGTTGACGACTGGAGAATCAAATGACCATTCGAAAAGAGTCCAGCCTATTTCCACAGCAAGACGGCAGCTGAACGAATACGAGCGTTGAATCCTGCGATGAAGATCATCGTCGTCGTGCGGGACCCGGTAATGAGAGCGATTTCAGGTGAAATTCAAATCTATCTCGAGGGGATTAACCCGTCATATTTCAAGTTCATACTTCAGATTATACCCAAGCATCCTCAAAGCGTAAGATGCTCGGAGCGATGCCCACATTCGAAGACATGGCTGTTGGTAACTGTGCGCCATGGTTGAAGACGAACTGTTCGTTGAAAGTGGGAGGTGTCAATGTTGGATGGGGAGCAATCCGCATCGGAATCTACCACAAGCACATGAAGAGGTAACAGTATCGCCCTCTTGGACTATCCTCGGAAATCCAAAAAGATTCAGATGGCTTGACAATTTCCCCATGGAGCAGATACACATTGTTGATGGCGAACGGCTTGTCACACAACCAGCTTTGGAAGTTAGCCAGACCGAGAGATTTCTTGGATTGGAGCCAGGTAGTTGCAATGGTTTTCACCGAAAAAGTAATTCAGCAAAGAGTTACAGTTACAGTGGTGACAGCGGAACATTTTGGTGTCGATCCAGTGAAGAAATTTCCATGTGTTCGTCGACCTGACGGTAACCTTCACTGTCTCGGCAAGACCAAAGGTCGAAAGCATCCACGAGTCCGACGTGAGGTCCTTCAGCGGCTACGTCGCTTCTACCAACCCGAGAATCAAAAATTCTTTCAAGATGATAAATCAGTACCTCCATTGGTAGCCGTTTGTATATCAGTTTCAGTATTCTAGTGATTCTAGTCTCTGGGTGGCCTTCACAGTTTTTCGATTACGAGTATTTCGCCTTCCGGTTAAGCTCAACCTCTGTTCTTGCTTCTCACGCATATCTCATAGTAATGATCTCATGTTTTCGTGACTGTTTCGAGGGTATCTCCACGGTAATTACATTGTACTCATTGATACGACTCCTGATTGTATTTTTCCGTTAAGATGTACGTTCATAATCCCTGCAAATGGTAGGGCGTGTGACGCGTGCGTACAGGAGCGCAACCAGGCGCCCCTGCCCCACCAGTGGTGCCATCAAGGGCACATTAGAATTGGTTGAAAATCTTCCCTGTCTGCGCTCTGGCTATACCCGCTCCTCACGCTCGATCAAGTGTAAGGGTTATGAATATGTGACATTTCGATGTTCTAGGCGTCGTGCAATAAAGTTCTATTAGCAAACTTCTGTCAGAAATGGAATCCTGCAATCATCGTGACTCCAGAATGTTTTGAGAAGTTGTTTCAGGCATTACATTGAGGTATAATATCGTTGTGCAATATTTTTGCTAAAAACGACCATTCCTCTGGTGCGAATGCCGCGCACGTGATACTGTTTGCAGCAAGATTGTTTAAGCAAATCCGAGCGCAGCCGCTGTGTGCGAATGGCGCGAGGGTGAGTTGAGGCGTGTTTGCAGCAAGATTGTTGTAAGAAATCTGAGCGCAGGCCCAAAAATGGTGCGGAACATATTGGCGGAGAGGCAGAGCTAAAAACGACGTCATTGGCAGGGAGGGGCGCGGGAGACTACGGCTTGAAATGGTCTGAGTCACATCAGAATTCGAGGACCGGTTCGAGACCACTTATCATGACAAGAATAGAGACAGGTGAGAGTGAGAAATCAAATTCATATTTCAAATTTATTACGTGATCTGAGGAGCATTAATCATGTAGCAAGCCAGATAAAAAATACAAGGAGACGCGCGAGAAGAGAGAGAAACGGCATGAAGTTCTATTTCTACACTGTCGCGGCTATCGAGTAATCTCTACGAAATGACTCTTTTTCTCTTTCGCCTCCGTCATTGGGTCAAGAGAGACTACTGCTGGATATTTTCTCCTTCTGCGCACTGCTCATCACCTGGTATATCAAGTTCCCAGACGGAAAAGAGCAGAATTCAGCTTACGAACCTACTTTTGAATTAAAGCGCAGGATCTTACGGAAATAACCTCATTCCATCACAATTTATCCTCAACATGAAAAAGAAAACAGCAGCAAGGGTTCAAACGCCTACTGCAGCTGATGGCTATTCAATCAGTTCCTCACAACCGGCACTCGAGACCGGAGTTAGAGTGCTTGTACTTGTTTTGTTTTAATGGTTATGTGATTTAGTGATTGTTCCCTTAGTTCAGTTAGTAGCATCCAAGATACAATTATATAAAGTACCGTAAAATTAAGAAATACAGCGATGATAGAACTAAATTACGAAATTACATAATTACTAACGAGCGGCGTTGTTAATAGTTACTATCACAATTACAAGTATAAATTACAGTAACCACAAAAGTTCCAAAATCTACTCTTACAAGAGTATAACTATGAAAGACTACGGTAAGAAGAGAGTATTGTGATGACTTGTCGTTCAGCCATAGTCGTTTGGGGCTGCTGGGGAAACTGCGAAACGTAGCTGTTGGTGACGAGATGTTGATCAGCTTACACGTGTCGTCTTCACCTCAGCGCTTGATGAAACGAGATGGCGAGAGAAGGCGTATAGGAATGCGGCCGAGAAGGATGATGACATGGAAGAAGCAGCGGATAAATGTTAGAAGAGCAAATAAGATTCTGACGATGGTAAGATCTGGGGAATAACCGAAATTATGTTATTGAGGGTTGAAGTTCGTTTAGAAGAAGGTGAAGGAGGAGAGCAAAAGAGAGTGTAGCTGATCATGAGCGCGCTGAGAAGAATTGTAAGAATGGTAAGGCTATAGAGGAGATTGTTTACAGGTATGAAGGAAATGTGAGAAGTCCGGGAGAGCGATGTCAATCTTGAAGGAGGAATCTGTTGCGTTAGTGTTGTCCCACAGTCTCATGTTGTGCCATAGGGGTCGAATAGCGTTTATGTAGTCCAATGTTCCTTGAGTTTGGTCTGTTGGTGTGTGTGTGTGTGTGTGTGTGTGTGTGTGTGTGTGTGTGTGTGTGTGTGTGTGTGTGTGTGTGTGTGTGTGTGTGTGTGTGTGTGTGTGTGTGTGTGTGTGTGTGTGTGTGTGTCCGCATTGGGCCTGACATTGCTCGTCTATGCTTACTCTGCTTTTCTTTCTGTTTTTTTCTTTCTGTTTTGCTTTCTTCTCTCTTGTTTTGATTAATATTGTCAATTGCAGACGATGGTTTCAGCTGCTGGATACCTTCTTTGAAGCTTGGTTTTATAAATAACGAAGCATTCTGCGCATCTCGTGCATACAGTCGTTCTCGCTGCAGCCGGTGCTGCGTGAAGCAGCGTTCAGACTTCACGATGGCAGTGCTTTAGTCGCGCGTTTGACGCAATCGATCTTTATGCTTTTGACTGCATTAATCGTGTCGAACGCGCGTGCTGTCGCGAAGTCTGAACGCAGCCTGACAGGCGGCGCGCCAGCCCTTCACCATCAACTGTGTCCTTTGCTCGCTCCAACAATTAGCGGTGAACGGGCTGACGCCGCACCAGACTCACCCTCCCCCCTGATACGTCCAGCGTCTGCAGCGGAAATGCTTCTAAGTTGTGCGCGTCACGTTCCTTAGTACTATTAGGTTGTCCGGAAAGTTCTGCACGTTTTGTGTTACTATTTTTTGAACATTCATTGCTGATTAAAAACTCATTCTCCCTTGCGTACATCCTGAAGAGAATTCTTTGCGCTATCTGATGGTATAACTGCGTTTCACCATTGCTTCACGAAC